CCTGGAGAATGGTGTGGCCATCAGGAAGGTGATTCTGCCCCTGGAGAATGGTGTGACCAGCAAGAGAAGGGAGGTCATTCTGCCCCTGGAGAATTGTGTCACCAGCATAGATTCTGTAATTCTGTGACTCTGATTTTGTTATTTTGTGGTTCTGTGATTCTGTGATACACCGTTATTCCCAGGAGAGCGCTGCATTTTGACCTGAGGCTGTGGAAAAGGTCTCCAAAACTGGTTGATAGCACTGAGATCATGGCTGTGCAGTTGATTAGAAGGGTGCAATATCACTTTTCTGCCAAAAACCGGCAGGCAGAAAGGCAGGGATGGGGCTGGAGGGAGAAGTGTGGGGCTGAGATTGAGGTGTCCCAAAGAGCAGATGTCGGAGTTCCGCATCTGAAGGATTTTAGACTTTTCTGTGCCGACACGTGTTTTGAAAAAGACTGGACATGGTGCTATAGTCTAGTTGAGGTGTTAGGGCATAGCTTGGACTGGGTGATCTTGGAGGTCTCTTCCAAACTCATGATTCTGTGATTCTGTGATTTTGTGGTTCTGTAATTCTGTGATTCTGTGATTGATTCTGTGACTCTGTGATTGGTTCTGTGACTGTGATTCTGTGATTGATTCTGTGATTCTGTGATTGATTCTTTGACTGTGATTCTGTGATTGATTCTGTGATTTTGCGACTCTGTGATTTTGTGGTTCTGTGATTCTGTGATTGATTCTGTGATTCTGTGACTCTGTGATTTTGTGGTTCTGTGATTGATTCTGTGATTTTGTGATTGATTCTGTGATTGATTCTGTGACTGTGATTCTGTGATTGATTCTGTGATTCTGTGATTGATTCTTTGACTGTGATTCTGTGATTGATTCTGTGATTTTGTGGTTCTGTGATTCTGTGATTGATTCTGTGATTTTGTGACTCTGTGATTTTGTGGTTCTGTGATTGATTCTGTGATTCTGTGATACCCTCTGACTCAAGGAGAGCACTGCATTTTGACCTGATGCCTCAGAGGCGGTTTTGTCTTTTTTACTAAAAACTACCTGTACATTATTTACCATAATTCCCAATACCTATCACCTATGTCAGACAGTGAGCTTCTACTCTAAACCAATCTAAAAACACCAACATCTCCCAGAAGATGGGGGTTAAGAAGAAGAAGGAAAAAGGACGAGGGAATTGCCCAGATTCCTCCATCTTTGTACCCTGAGCCCCATTCTAAAACCATCAAAAATTGATTTTTCACCCCGTGACAAACTAACTATTATTCTACTTAAACTCTTTTGACTTGTAACTCTTCATGTAAAGGTGGGGTAGGAGCAGCTCAGCCTCACGTTCCTGCACCCTGGGGTGGAGCTGGGTTTGGGGTGATCTTGAAATATCTGGGAACACCAGTGTTGGGGAAGATGAAACAGGAAAGCCTTATAAATATGATTGTCTGGCAAAAGATTGTGAGAATATGGAAACTATAAGCGAGATGGAAATGAAAGCAAGCTTTGAGATCCTTTAGTTACTGAACAATGGGAAAACAACGATGTGGCTGGCTGAAGGTAAAATCCCCTTTTGATGGAACAACACCCTCTGCTTGCAGACAGGCCCAAGGGTCAGAGCAGACCCTGCCAGCTTGGCAGAAGTGGCCCAAAGAGGAGTTTTTAGGATCTAAAACTACTCCAAAGTGGAGTTTTTAGGGTTTCCAAAGAGTAGTTTTCAGGCTTAGCAGAAGGGGCCCAAAGAGGAGATTTTAGGGTTGTAACACAGTATGGGAATGTAGTGATTTTTATAGGCTGTATGGAAATGCTATAGGATTTGTGTTTTGTACTAGATTGGTTAGTGAGAATCAGAATATTCAACACAGAACATTTATTGTATTGAAACGGGAACTTCACACTCTTGCCTTTTACTCTCTTATACTTTTACTCTCTGACCCTCTCATTCTCTCTACCCCTCTCTCCTCTTGGGCCTGCTGAGCTCTGCCTGGCAGCTCCCAGCAGCTCCCTGCACTTGGCCCTTTGCAATAAACCCCAAGTTCCACAACCAGAAGAAGATTTATTGTATTGTAACAGGAACCTCGCTCTCTTATCCTCTTCACCTCTCCTTTTAACTCTCTTTACCTCTCTCTCTACCCCTCTCTTCTCTTGGGCCTGCTCTGAGCTGTGGCTGGCAGCTCCAGGCAGGGCCCTGCACCCAGGCCCTTTTCAATAAACCCCAAATTCCACAACCAGAAGAAGATTTATTATATTGTAATGCGAACCTCACTCTCTTATCCTCTCTTTTACTCTCTCATCCTCTCATCCTCTCTCTCATCCTCTTTATCTCTCTCTTCTCTTGGACCTGCTCCAGCTGTGCCTGGCAGCTCCAGGCAGGTCCCTGCACTTGGCCCTTTGCAATAAACCCCAAATGCCACAACCAGAAGATTTATTGTATTGTAACGAGAACCTCACTCTCTTATCCTCTCTTTTACTCTCTCTCTTATCCTCTCATCCTCTCTCTCATCCTCTCCATCCCTCTCTCCTCTCGGGCCTGCTCTGAGCTGTGGCTGGCAGCTCCCAGCAGGGCCCTGCACTTGGCCCTTTGCAATAAACCCCAAATTCCACGCCCTGGCTTCAGAGATCTCTCGTCTCCATCCTTCCCGACCCCCGTGCTAACCCCCGTTGCTCCTACACACCAGCACCCTGCTGCTGCTTCTTGGTGATGTTGGAGCTCTGGGGGCAGCTGGGATGGAGCCCATGAGCATCCCAAGCTTCGTTTCCAGCCTGTGCCTGCAGCTGGTGCTCCTTCCACAGCACGGAGCTGCTCCCCGTGCTGAGCCTTGGTGTGTCCATCCACCACCCAGGGGCACACAGGAGTGGGGAATGTCACTGAGGAGGTGACAGGGCAGCCAGGGGGACACCGACAGCAAAAGGGGAGCACTCCTGCCAGCCCCAGAGCAACCCTGAGCTTTATTCATGGAATCAATCCTGTTAACATGGCAACCACCACTTCCATTTTAATTTGCTCAGCCACATTCCAATGCATGGAGAGCTTGGGAAAATCAAAGAGACAAAAAAGAGAAAAAAAATAAAAGGAAAAGAAGAAAAAAAAAGGAAGAAGAGGAGGGACTTGGGCCACAGTCCTGCTCCCTCCTGGCATTCCTGGAGCTTCAGGGTCTCTGGACATCAGTGCCCAGCACGTGTCCCATGCTAGGGTGGCCACCCTTGGGGTGGAGAGGACGAGAGGCCAGGCAGGAGCCTGTGAGCCTTTGGGGATATTCCATTCCCATCCACTGGGAACAAAACCCCCACGGCCCAGAAAAATCAGCAAACCCAAGGGGACTGCAAGAACCTTGTCCCCACCCCACCACCTCCCTCCTTAGCCTTTCTTTTTCGGAACTCGGACACAACCTGGCCATTACAGGAGGATCCCCCTGTGCTGGGCCTTGAGGAGGGTTCTGATTCTTCTGATTCCTCATCTGGACCCACCACGTGCTGCTCGAGGATCTCCTGCAATCAGAGGCTTAGCCTTTCTTTTTCTTCTTCTTCTTCTTTTTCTCCTTCTCCTTGTCCCCCTTCTTGGCCTCCTCGGCCGCTTTCTTCTCCTCCTTCAGCACCTTGTACCTCCACTGGGGTGGCTGCAGCAGGTGCTTGTCCTTCACACGTGGTTTCCTCTCCCCGCTGGCTGACCCAGAGGCTTTGCT